ATAATCCTGCCACACTTCATCCATAGGCTACAATTTGTGCCACCTAGAACCAACAATGGTTTAACCAAGGGCAACATTTCATATTTCTTTTATTTATATTGTAAAACTTATATGCCACTTGATTATTACTATTTTTTTTAAAAAAAAACCCCTCTAGGATGTTTAAGAAACATAATTTGATTGTATTTCAACCATTGTTTCAGATAACCATGGAAATTAATTCTGATAACAAACATATACTCATTCTAGGCTATTATGGAAGCTTGACCTTTTTAGCATTTCATATGTTCTGTGCTTCTGTTCCTAGGGGAGTTCAATCTTACCTACTGGAAAGCTGTTCTTCACAAGTCTTGAAACTTGTTTCACATTATTTTAAGGAGGTAATTTATTATTAGGTAAGGGCCAAGCAAATGTAACCAATTCCACTATTTGTTTGTTTGTTTGTTTTGCAAGCAATAAAAGGGGAAAGGCAAATGCCACGATGAAACCTGCATTCAAGCCCTTTCACAATTAGAAATACCTGCCAAGCACAGTTGAAGTGGGAAGCTCCCATTCATTTCAGTTGATGCTGCTGCCACAGGTGAACATTAAGGATTTCCAAATCACAGCTGTTATGTACTAAGCTTGGATCCTAGAACAAAAGGCAGGTAGGATCCTAGAATGCAACAACCTGATTGGCCTGCAGGAGCAGCCCAATCAGACCCCAGGAGGGAAACAGAATCAACCAATCAGATGGGACTCATTGTGTAAATAATGTATATAAAGTCTGAGGTTTGGGGGGGGGGGAATCCATTCACTGTTTTACGAGCTGCAATAAAGAGCATGAAATCACTACACAACTCCGAGTATATTTCACTGGCAATGAAGATGGGATCCCGCTGAGCTGTCTGCCATGCACCACACCGCAGTCCGCCACCGGCAACATCGCTGCATCGCACCACACATCCATGCTACAGCTTCGGGACCCAAGGACCCAGAATGGCAACAGACAACAGCTTTCCGCTGATCAGCTCATCCTCAGGAGACTGGGAAGGATACACCACCTGTTTCCAGTTCTTCCTGGAGGCAAAGGACGTCACCGACACAGCCAAGAAGAGGGCGACATTCTTCAGCATCTGCGGAGAAGAAACGTTCGAGATTGCCGGAGCCCTCCTCGCACCTGAAAATATCGCAACCATTCCCTATGACCCGATAATGGAACGGCTGAACTTCTTGCCACAGCCCTCGGTGGTAGCATGTCGCAACGCCTTCTGTGCAAAGCGGCAGGCCCCCGGAGAAACCATAACCAGGTATGTGACCTCCCTCCACCAGGCCGCCCAGCTCTGCAACTTCACAGAGCTGGAGAACATGCTCTGCGACTGCCTTGTGGGTGGCCAGAGGGATGAGAAGCTGCAGCAGCGCCTCTATGCCAAGAAGGACCTGACGTTCCAGGTTGCCCTAGAGGAAGCACTGGCCACTGAAGCCGCCGAGAGGTCAGCGCAAGGATTCCGGCCAAACTTGTCGTTCCAACAGAGGGTCTACCATGAGGACCTCACTGATGACTCAGAATCTGACAAGGAGGGCATGCACTGAGTGCAGCGGTGCACACAAGCCACACTCCCACCACAACAGCCTCATCCGGAAGAGGGGAACTGTGCAAGTTGCGGGGAGAACCACGAGCGGAGGACTTGCCGTTTCCGCAATGCAGAAAAGCAGGCCACATTGCCCAGGTGTGCTGTATCCGGCCCACCCGACGCCCCACATCAGATGGTTGACCCAAGAGTCCCAGGCCCCACAGTCCGACACACCAAGGCAACTTGACAGAGATCACAGACTGTGTCAGGTTGCCTCATTCCAATGCAGAAAAAAATTACATTGAGGTACAGATAGAGGGAGCCCTGTGCCGCATGGAGCTCGATATAGGCTCAACTCTGTCCATAATCTCAGCACGGACATTAAGGAAATTGTGCCCCAATGGAGGCCCCAAACTTAGGCTGGCCCCATTCACCCTCTGGGACTTCCAAAAATGCAAGGTCCCCATGGTGGAGGTGGGAACATTCAATGTACAATATTGAGGGTGGCAGCGGCGGTTAGACTTGATCGTGGTCAAGGGGCCCTACATTAGCTTACTGGGGTTGGCATGGTTTGGGCCACTGGGGCTAGCCATCACCGGAGTGAACCGCACCAGCTCCCACATGGACGCCATATGCAAAAAGTTTCTGGAGGTTTCCGATGGGGTGTTGGGACGATATACTGCCCCCTCCCTCCATCAGCCTACAACTAGACGGCCCATCAGGCTCAAGGCCCGCCGGGTACCGTTCACCCTGAAACCCCACACAGATGAGGAATTAGACCAGCTCGTGGCGCAAGGAGTGCTCGAGCCGGTGCCTAACACCCCCTGGGAAACCCCGATCATCATGCCCATCAAGCCCAACAACTCGGTCTGCATCTGCGCAGACTACAAATGTACCACAAACAAGGCAGAGGTTAAAAAGGTTGCTTTCTCTTTGTTATGTTTTTGATGAACCACGACACACTGGCAAATGCCAGTTAGAAACTATTGACCCATAAGATGCAAGTTGTAGAAGCACTACTTGCAATATCTTTTCCATGAAACACTAGAGTTCTGTTTTTGTTTTTTATGCCTGGAAGAAATGAAGGTCTCCAATCAACAAGGAGAGTACTGTTGTTGGTGTGCTTCAACGGCTTTTCCATTTGGCCCCTGAAAAAGAGCTGAAATGCCCCTCCAATTTCACCTCCTGGGATTAGTACCAGAACTTGTAAGCAATAAGTTCCTATGCCACCCCTCCCAAAGGAAATAACAAAGCAGCACAACAATATTATTAAAGGAATAAAAATTAAAAACATTTTAAAACAGTCATATAACCTCAGGTTGCTTCATCCTGCTGCATAGCAACAGGGAAAAAATTTCTGCCTGAGGTGAAGGACACCCTTCCATCTGCAGAAACTGACTGGACAGAAAATGAATCCCCCCCCCAATACTGGCAATGAGGCAGGGTCCTCCACAACACCTGAAAGAGCAGACTGGTTATTGGGGAAGGGTGTACAATGGGCCATGCAGCACTCACACAGCTCTGTCCTCTAAACAGAGTCTACAGCTAGATGGCTAGGTTACCACTGTTGCTCCCACCCTACGCTGCAACAACTGCTGCCTGAGGCAGTTGCTTCACTCTTCCTAAAAATAGAACCGAACCTGCATAGAATCACAGAGTTGGAAGGGATTCCAAGGGTCATCTAGTCCAACCCCCTGCAATGCAGGAATCTCAGCTAAAGGATCCATGACAGATGGCCATACAACCTCTGCTTAAAAACTTCCAAGGAAGGAGAGTCCACCATCTTTTGTGAGAGTCTGTTCCACTGCCGAACAGCTCTTACTGTCAAAGTCCCCGTCCCCCCATGTTTAGTCGGAATCTCTTTCTTGTAACTTGAGCTATTGGTTCGAGTCCTACCCTCCAGAGAAGGGAAAAACCCATGTTTGTTCCCTCTTCCATGTGACAGCCCTTGAGATATTTGAATGTGGCTATCATATCTCCTCTCACTCTCCTCTTTTACAGGCTAAACATCCCCAGCTCCTTCAACTGTTCCTCATAAAGCTTGCTTTCCAGGCTCTTGATCATCTTGGTTGCCCTTCTTTGCACATGCTCCAGCTTGTCAACACCCTTAACTTGTGGTGCTCAGAACTAGACACAGAATTACAGGTGTGATCTGACCAAGGCAGAATAGAATGATACTATTACTTCCCTTGAGCTGGACACTATAATTCTGTTGATGCAGCCTAGAATAGTGTTAGCTTTTTTTGTTGCTGCATCACATTGTTGCATATGTTGGCTCTGAAGATTTAATCAATCCATCTTTATGGTCAAAGACCAGATAGCAAAGTTAACAACAGCAACATATGCCACATCCTCAGCCCCGAAAGCTATCAACAACAATCAGCAGCAAATGCTGCAGTGGGGCTGTGTCACTTACTTGAGCCAGGTGAGCCACTGCTGCTTGTTGGGCAGAGAGCGGGAGGAGAGAGGCAGAAAAAAGGTTGTTGTGGTGCAAACACGCCAGCAGAGCCAATCCAAACCCCTGCTAGCACCATGTTTGCACCATACCCACCTTGCCTTGCCTTCGCACCCTTCCCCCTTTCTACCCCAGTAGGCAGCAGCAAATCAGCCAGTAGGGAAAACAGCTGAGTGGCCCAGATCCATTTTGTCATCCAATACTGACAACATTCCTGTTTGTACACCTACCAATACAAAAAGTTTAAACCATGAAGCTATATCAAGTTGTTGTTTTTCCCCCCAAGGCTCTGTGCTTGCATTAGCAAAAATAAGAGCTTAATGTTCCGGGAAAGCCATGTCTCTGCCTATACAGCAGAGACTACGGAGACGCATTTTGATTCCTCTGACAAGGCTGACTTCCAAGGCTCATTTGTCTAGAGTGGAGGTGAATACAGTGGCACACAAACAACTTAACCCAGTGCTGTGTCTCCCAACGTTATTGCTATTGTGTTCTCATTCCTCAGAGCAAACTTATGGTCCAATTCAGTGCTTCACAGATTGTGAGTTCAAACATGTTCCTGGATGGTCGTTGCACATCAAAGGGCATTTTCTTTCTTTCTTTCTTTCTTTCTTTCTTTCTTTCTTTCTTTCTTTCTTCTGACAATGCACCCTCACTGTTGTGTAGTGCCATGCAGTAAGAGGCTCCTTTTCTCCTTCTATATCAGGGTTCGGGAACCTGTGGCTAACATCTCTTGCTGGACTCCAGTTCCCATCAGTCCCAACCAGCAGGGCCAATAGCCAGCAATAATGGGAGGTGCAGTCCAGCAAGATATGGAAGGAGACAGGTGTTGCCCCCCTCCCACAGTTCCATGGCATGCTTCAGTTCTATAGTAAACCTGCAACTGATGTGCATTTAACTTGTGCACATGCAACTTTACGTGTGTGGCAAATATTTTAAAAAATAAAAAGGGGGAAGGAAGGAAGTGGGTTTCTGGGGAAAATGACATGCTGGGATAGCTCAGTCAGTAAAGCATGAGATTCTAAATCTCAGGGTTTTAAGTTCAAGCCCCATGTTGGACAGAAGATTCCTGCATTGCAGGGGGTTGGACAAGATGAACCTTGTGGTCTCTTCCAACTCTATATAGTTCTATGATTCTATTATCCTAATTCCACCCACCATTGAACCCAATGGGTTTTGATTAGGTGAAAGCCCCGGAACATAATCCCCATGTAAGCTGCAGGCTTACCATACTCAAATATGTACTGCCCGCATACATTGACAATAAAAATGGAAGTTAAACTTGTTCAGTGGTAACTACGGGTGTGATATTCTTGCATTTGGTATTGCTAGAGGGGAGAAGTAGGGCTTGAAAGGTGGTGGAAGATGACAGGGTGGCCCCACTTCAAAGCATTTTGAAGCGCTGTTCTAATAATAGCTTGAATGACTGATGCTTTGGGCCAGCTGGTTAAGTTTGGGATCTCTGAGCATCTACTGTATATACATTAATCCTACTTTAATTGCTCTGCCAGTGCTCAACAAATGGCTATGCAGGTGTTCACACAAAGCCGCTGAATTTTTAAATGGAGCCTCTTTGGCTATTTTCATGCTTCTTTCCCCTTCACTTTTCATAAATGCTCAAGCACATGAGTTTCCTGGAAAGAATATTTGCTGAGCAAAGTCCTTTTCAGAAATTCACCTCTACACATTAGGCATTTGCTTAAAGGCTACACATTAGTCCTTGCCCCTCCCAGAGTATCAATTGCTCATGGATCCTGATTACATGGAGTGCCTGCATGGTTGCTGCTTAGATGCCTCTTTTCAGATGTTGGTGCTCAACACATAAAACATCAGAAGAAGGAGTGATGGGGTATGCAAGGCTAACAAGTGCAGTCCCACTCTGTCCCCATGTGAAAGGCTAATGCATGGAAGCATATTTCTGAATAAGGCTCTTGACTACAGAAGTAATGCCGAACACATACCGTATTTTTCGCTCTATAAGATGCACCAGACCACAAGACGCACCTAGTTTTTGGAGGAGGAAAACAAGAAAAAAAATATTCTGAATCTCAGAAGCCAGAACAGCAAGAGGGATCTCTGCGCAGTGAACGCAGCAATCCCTCTTGCTGTTCTGGCTTCTGGGATAGCTGCGCAGTCTGCATTCACTCCATAAGACGCACACACATTTCCCCTTACTTTTTAGGAGGGAAAAAGTGAGTGTTATAGAACAAAAAATATGGTATTTCAAATCGATCATGGTGACTTTCCCATAGCTTTATAAAACTCAGGGGTTTGTAAGAATTTCTTAGTTGTTGCCTCCATTGTACCTTGACTGTCACAATGACCAGTGCGTCTGGGAAATGTAGTTTAAAGGGCATCTGAAAAAAACCGAAGGCAAGGGTGAGGGACCCCAGCCCATGGGCCTGCAGCCTACAGCAGGATTTCATCCAGCCCTCATGGGGCCCTTCAGCCAATCACCTGTTCAGAAGGAAGCAGAGGAAAGGGAAATGTGATTCAGTGTGTGAAAGGTGCAATTGCAGCTCCATCCTCTGCAGAGAGGTAGACGGGTTGCAAATGTGCAAAAAGTGGCCATGCTTCTCTAGCATGAATGTTAAGCCAGGCATTTGCATTATAACATTAAGTCAGCTTGGGGAGTGGGGTCATGGCTCAGAACATATGTTTTGCACAAGGAAGGTTGCAGTTCTGATACATGGCATACACTCCAACAAAGACACACACACAAAAAAGGAGGGGCATGTGTCTTCTGGGGCTACAGCCCCATGTGAGTCACGTGACCTGTGTGAGATTGCAGCCCCCAATGACATGCTTTTTCAGTGCCCCAAAACACACACAAAAGTTTCGGGGCAAGATCATGGTGTGAGATCACGCAAGATCATGAGGCCCCAAATGGCTGTTGTTCTCTCACATGAAAAAACGGGATGTTTTACTGGGACAGTTGAGGGGTATGACATGGCTGTTAAAGGATCATGGAGCAAGTGATGAGAAAGACCTTTGCCTAAGCCCTTTGATGGACACTACCGTTAACCGAGTGGTGACTCGGCTAGAAGACGCCTGGCGCCTTCATTATACACCTTTAAGCGCCTGGCAAAAAAATTCCTCTTTAACCTTGGGTTGATTGACATCCAATGCTCTTTTAAAATGTGTGTTGGGGGGGTGTTATTGGGTTTTTGTTTTGTATTTTGTGCTTTTATGTTGTGCTTTTATTCTGTAAACTGCCCTGAGACCTGCGGATATAGGGCAGTTTATAAATTTAATTTAATAATAATAATAATAATAATAATAATAATAATAATGCTATCAAATATTCTGACCTGGAAGCTACTGGGGTGAAAGTTAGCTGCACTCCTGGCCTGCAATCAGGAATCACACCCATATAGCTTCCTGTGGAAGAGATGACTACTTGTCCCATGGGATTAGGTCCCATGGGAATAGTTTATTATCTAATTTGGAGAAATGCCTTTTCTTCTTTGGCTTGGCTTTGGTTTAGAGTGTGTGTGTGTGTGTGTTTTTACCAACTAATATACTGCTAAACTTAGAATAAGCAGTGTTGACAGAAGTGCCTTGAAAAGAGGGGTGCCGTTGTCGCGACAAGAGAATATACAGCATTTGATTTGGATGCAGGGTGTGAGCTGACAAATTTCCTGGTTAACAAGAGTTAGGCAGAGAATAGCAACCTTCAGAGAGTGAAGGGAGGGAGCATGTGAATTTTATATGAGTGGATTGCTAATCAGAAGGGATATTTTTCAAAGGGTTTCTGGATCACGGTCAAGGGCTGACATAGTGTGGGGAGTAGTTTCTACCAGGAAAATAATTCTGGCTTCTTGTGATAGTTTTATTCCCTGACATCTACTAGTACATCTCTTAACGTGCACTTTATGCAAGAGAGTAAAAAAGCTGTTTCCTCACTCCCTGTGAGCTATATATGGAGTTCAACACATTTTTGGGCTACTGTGGGAACATTAGTACTTCCCATAGCAAGCATTTAATGTTTAAGTGCCATACACTCATATATACAATACATACATATTTAAAAGCTGCTGTGCGCATGATTATGACATATATACAGGTGTTTATAAATGCTTGTACAGTGCCCACCCTTTGGGATGTACCCAGTGCAGTGAAAGTAGACCCACTGAAATTAAAAGGACCTCATTAGTCAGGTCCACTAATTGCCCTGGATGCACTCTTAGTATAACTAACACTGGAGTCAATATATTATACAGTAGCTGCAGGAACCATTCCCACAGCAAATGTTCCTTTTGGAGCTGCTGTTATTCTCTTCATATTGGAAACTGCCCTACATTCAGTCAGAAATCACTGGTCCATCTATCTCAGTATTGTCTGTACTGGCTCTGCAGGGTCTCGGATATCCCCAACTCTACCTGGAGATCCCAGAGATTTCTGCAGGACCTTCCATGTGCAAAACAGATGCTTTACCACTGCGCTATAGCTCATACTTCTCTCATTTCTTCTAGTAGTTCAACTTGATATGCAGACCTTGAGCCAGTAGTGGATGGCAGGGTGGTCACACCCACCTGATCTCTAGTAGCCCATGTTGCTGCTATATAACAGGGATGAAGAAGGGGCTAGAGGTTGGGGAGGCTGGTGTGGTGCAAACTAGGTCCTTTTCCATGGTTCATTAATCTTCAACTATTTAAGCTCCTCCACCACCTTGTCCTGATTCAGCCAGCCCTTCCAGGATGTCTCCATGGGACTCACGACAGGTAGAGCATCTGCCTTGCATGCAGAAGGCCCCAGATTCATACATTGGCATCTCCAGGTAGAGTTGGGAAGGAATCCTGGGTGAAATCTTGGTGGGACACTGCCAGTCAGAATAGATAGTACTGAACTTGATGGACCAATAGATCCAACTCAGTGTAAGTCATCCCTATGTTCCAGCATACCTACCAGTGGCTTGGCTCTGTCATGTCACATAGGAACTCATTTTAAGAAATATTCAGCACGTGAACCACATGGAGGTAACCAAATTGTGTCTAAGCTATGCCTTATGCTAAATAAACCAGCCTTGGATTTCCTAATAGCTAATATCCCAGAATGTCACTTAAGCTCCCCCGCGCTTTAAAAAATGATTGTGGAACAAGTTGAGGGTCCTTTTAGCAATTTCTATTTAAACCAAATGATTAGTGAGCACACTAGGTGCTCTGCTGGTTCCATTAAAGACCAATGTCTTTGGCAAAGTCAACATCTGTCACTGTGATGCATTGTTTTGATTCCAGTTTGTTCCCTGGATCCTTTGAAGTCTCACGGTGGTGAAGTGACTCAAGGGCAACTGCCTAGCTTTCAAACTGAAAATGCAGGAGCAAGGAAGTGATTTGGCCCTGCTGGATTCTGTGTGCATCACTTGGCTGAAATCTGGGAATTAGGGTGTGTGAACATGGGTGCAGTGTAGGTCTGGACCTTGAGGTCTGAGTCCAAAGCCCCAGGAAGACACACACACCCCAAATGACCACCCAGGAGGTAGCAAGGCAGCAACACCAAAAAAAACCCCTGCACCTGGACCACCATGAGCACCACCAAGCCCACCTGGGCTGACTAGCTTAGGACCCAGCAGATCCAAAGCCACCATTGCCCAGCCACCACCCATACCCCCCAGAGCTTCCCACTTGATGCCGCAGGCAAAAGATCCACTCCCCAACCACCAGTGGCACTTTGCTGGAGAGCCCCCTGTGCACCAGCTCTGTCCCTCCTCATTATGACGGTGATGGTTATTATTCTAAATAAGAACGCTTGCTGCTCCAGAACATGCAGGTAAAATCAACTCTGTAAAGTACTTCATCTTAAACATATCCTGTTTATTTATCTAAATGGTGTGCATGGGTCTCCTCTTCCCATTTTATCATCACAACAAGCCTGTGAAGGAAATTAGGCAGAGTGGCAGGGACTGGCCCCCAAGGTCACCCAGCGAGTTTCATGGCTGAGTGGGGATCTGAACCCTGGTCTACGAGGTCCTAGTCCAGCACTCTAACCATTACACCACACTGGCTCAGCAATTTAGAAACAAACATCACCATCTGTGAATCCAATAACCAGATTCATGTGG